CAAGCATTTATGGACCAAATTGCAATAAAAATGAAGTTCAAAAAATAAACTTTATATAAAAATAAGGGACGAAAGTGCAAAAAGTCAATAAACAATGAAAATTCACAATAAGATTGAGTATGTATCCACAATACTTATCGGTATGGAACTACAGAAAAAGCAATAGTTAGTGGAAAAAAAGAAGAAGCAATAGTTAGTGAAAACATATTTTTGTTTTAGTTTATTGTATAATATTATAATATAGTATTTGTGTGTTTATTTTAAGTACTTGTTGTTTCCAAAGTAAGGAGGAATTTGCAAATTATAGGAAGAAAAGAAGATGGGGTACTTCTTTTACCGACACTCCTGAAACCACCAAGAAGTAGCCCTCTAGTCAAGCTTTTGTCTAATTTGCTTTACTTTGTATCTGTTTGACCTAATTAAAAATTTTTTTGACCTAATTAAAAAAAAAAAAAAAAGTTTACTTGCATTGAAAGCTTGGCTGCATTTTAAAAATTTCCAATTCGTTACCTAACTTTGATCAAAAGAGTTAGTTGCTTGTAAGTGAAAACAATGAGAATAATGCATTCTTAAAAGTCCAAGAAAAAGAAAGGTGTGAATAGCTGTGGAAAGTGATTAAAGAATTAGTTGTTAGTTATTAAATTTTTTTTTTTTGTTACGTATTTAAACCGCTTTGCCTGCTTAATATTTTTTAGAGGTTATTATTTTTTTCTAAATTAAAATCTTAAAATCAGTATTTACATGTTTTAAAAAATAAATTATTTTGAATGCAATTGAGGAATAGTAATAATAATAATAATAAAGAATGGGTTAATTTTCTAGAAAAAATTGAAATGAAAAAGCTAGGCTACTCTTAATAATGATCTCACATTACCATTAACAATGAATTTGTGTTGTGTCCTAAAACTAAATTGAAGTCCTAAAAACTGCAATACGACTAGCTTCAAGTTGGTCTTGGTACAATTATTTTTTTTTTAAAAAAAAAACAAATAATGGCAAGCAGTGTGTGCATTCATGTCTAGTTTACGTTTTCTTTTCCTTTCCGTTGTTTCTTTTTTTGACTGGTTTCCATTCATGATTGAGTGCTCAAAACCTTTGCGCCAATTGCTTGATTTATTTAAAGGGATAAATGAGTTTGTTTCCATCATATTATTGACCTAGAAAAACCCAAAAAATCAAGAAGGGAATTCTTTTAAAATAGATTATAAATTAGTCCTTCTCTCTAGTTTCGAAAAACAAATCAATTAATTTTTTTTTATTTGAAAAACTAATTAATCTGTCTTATTTTCTTATCAGATTTTCCATAATATCTATTTACTTTTAGTTAAGATTATAGGGATTCCTCTACTCTTTTTTTTTTTTTTTTGTCTTTATCGTATTTTTTACTTTTTTTTTCATTTTAATTTATATTTTTATATTTATTTTTTATCTTAAAAATATCAATCTGTTAACTTTTTAAGTCGACGATGTTAAATTACATTGTTAGTTTCACATGATTGCGATATGTGTCAACCTTGGTTTTTTTTTTTTTTTTTTTTTTTTTTTTTTTTTTGAGAATATTCAGTCATAATTTACTTATTTTCATTTTACAAATTCTTAATTTGATCCAAAAGTGAGAATATATATATATTTAGATTTTTTTAAAATATTCACTCAATGGTTAAAAGACTATAAAGCCCATACAAGATTAGCTAAAATGCTAAATATATTTTACTTTATACTTCAATTTTACTTAGTATTATAGAGATAAATTTAAACCCATAAAAAATATTTTGGATAAAAAATATTTTTATCTTCATCTTTTGCTTTATTTTTTTAATAAAAAAATAGAGAGATGAGATTAAGACCCAAAAAAAAAAACAAAAAGGTTGACACGTGTTGCAATTATGTAGGACTAATGGTGCGATTTAATATCATTAGTCTAAAAAATTAACAGAAGGACAAACTTAAAAATAGAAAAAAAAACGTGAAGGGACATGATCAAAATGAAAGAAAGAGTAGAAAGATCTCTACAACCATTAACCTATTTATTTTTATTTTTTTATTTCTAAAACAAAATAGAAAATAACATAAAATAAAAATTAAATAATCAGGTTTTTAAAATAAAAAAGTCTAATTAATTCATTTTTTAAAATTAGAAGAAGTAATTTATAATTTACTCATTTTGTTTGTGAATGTGTAGAAAATATTATATATAAAAAAAAAGGGCAACTTTGTTAGTAAAAACCCAATTGTTTAGCAATACAACTAACTATTTTGTCTTAACATGATCATCATGATTTGCTCATGGAATATTTCATCTCAATAATATATCCACAAAACACATGATAATATTAAAATATTAAGAGTTTCCTTAATAAACCCCAAACATCATCATATTTGTTTACTAATCAATCATGTTTCCGTTAGTTGGGCAATAGCAATACTATTGGTAGCAAGGAACAAACAAGCGGCTTCAAGTTTATAATAAAGTATTCATCATAAAATATATTAAAACAGCACAAGTAAATATACCTCATTTGATAATTAAATTTTGGCCTTACATTAATAGTCAAATCACATAAATTAAAATGCAAGTGATCACATGAACCCTGAACCTAATTGCTATCATAGTCAAAGCTCAAAAGAAGATAAATTCTTTTTTTTAGAGTATTTAATTAAAAAAAAACTTCATTAGAAGAGAAAGCTAAATAGCTTATAATCTTTATAGCGATAGTTAATTTAATATATCCTGATAATACATTCTTTTTATATGTTCTGCAAAATTCTAACTATTAATGACAACTTTCCTATGTCTAATAACTGAAGTTGGCTGCATGTAATTATGATAATAACTTCAAAAATCATTATTATTTCTTTTTTTATTAAAAAATAATTTTTTATTTATCAATTCAACTATAAAAAATAAAAATAAAATTTACCTACTCCTGGGTGTGAGAGAGAGAGAAAGAGAGAGAGATTGAGAATAGAAAGAAAGGAATATTCAAAACTTGAAAACCATGTCCAGAGTCCGTACCACCTTAAAACCAATTCAAACAGTAGCTTTTAATAGTCAAATCAAAACACATCCAGTACACAGTGTCAAAGACAAGCTGACCTTAATTTGGATCATCTGCTGATGAACCATCTTCCCTCGTAACTGGACACATGGCAAAATATTTCGCATTTTCACATCTGTCTTTGGTCCTTCTGGATTTGTCCACTGCGTGCATTTCTCTTCCCTTGGAAACTAGAACACCATTATTAGCTTCTTCGCACTAAAAACCAAACTGGATTCCTTGCTTTTTTAGCTCGTCCTGATATTTTTTAGTTGCTTTAGAATTAGAAAAACCAAAACATCTCTGTTCTTGATCATGCTTACTGGGAAGCTCTTTCCTTTCTTGATTTGTAGTCTTGCTTGTTGCTTAGGGTTGCTGGCGTTTCTTGAGGCAAAGCTGGTCCAAGAAGAAGGTAAGTCTAAACTTTCATTATGTTTGTAGCAGATACTATATTTGTTAGTTGAAAGGAGACTTTTCGGATTCCGGGTTTTTTGGTTCTGTAATGAGATTTATTGATGGAACCACTTGCTTGGTGTTTGGGAGAAAATGTGAGGAAATGTTTTTTTTTTTTTAAAAAGTAAAGTTTTTGAATCTTGGCTATTAGGTTATTAGTGGTTTTTAGGCTTTTTTTCTGATGGTTACTGAGAAAAAAAATGGGAAAGATAAAGGAAATTGGAATTTTATGCTTGGGTTTTATACTGTAAACTGAGACTTACTTCGATCACTTGATTTGCTAAGCTAAGCTTGTTGCCCTTTGTCATTTTGAGTAAAGTTCTCTCTCTCTCTCTCTGTCTCTCTTTAAAAAAAAAAAAACAAAATATTTTTCTCAGCAATTAAATTTGCATACAAACATGAGAAGATTGAAAACAATCTTCAAGCAAAAATTGAGCCTTAAAACTGAACCTAATGTCTCATAAAATGAACAAATAAAACCAGGATGAATTTGGGAGTGCGTTGGATCTCAATGTACTTTTGCATTATAGAACTTTGTAAATGTAGAACTCATAGCTAGCTTAGCTTGTATCTTACAACATTCACTGGTCATATGATGCTTATCTGTCTATGGATGATATTTAGTTGATGCTCTTGAAGAAATTGCACAAACATTGGGCTCTAAATACTGGAAGTTCAATGCTGATACTTGCAAAATTGAAACGGTTGGAGTAACTCAAGTCCCACCAAAGAATGCGGAGCACAGGATAACTTGTGAATGCCGTAATGGGAACAATACTGATTGTCACGTCACAAGAATGTATAATTCCCTCTCTTGCTACTAAGAAATATTAGTTTGAATGTTCCACTTGTCTTTTGTGATAGTAGGCTTGATTTTATTCAATTCATATTTTGTGCTGTTGTTTCTATGGGCAGAAGATGTATATATTGTTGATTATATTTTGTGCTCTTGTTTCTACGGGTAGAAGACGTATATATTGTTGATTATACTTTGTTTGTCAATTCCATTCTTACTTTGTGGAAGAGTTACAACTATGAAGTATGCTTTATTACACAGTATTGTTTATGTGATGTATTTAACATTCTCTTGCTGCTGCTGATATTATGACTGTTATACTTCACATATACAACTGTTAGGATGACGATTTAATTAATGTATTTCCTTGATTGCTCTTATCCTGATTTTAGTTATCAATTACTCATATTTTAGGGAGCTAAAAAATCATAACCTTCCCGGAGTGCTTCCGCCTCAACTTGTTAAGCTTCCTCGCCTCCAAGTAGTGTAAGGGCCTCTTAAAATTCTTCCCTTTCCTCTTTGATGTTCATATTCCCACACAGTCTTATTTTGTAATCCTTTTAAGTGCAGTGATTTTGCTTACAACTACCTCAATGGTACTATACCACGTGAATGGGCTACAATGCAGTTAACTTCAATGTAAGCCCTTGTCAACTTACACGATCTCTCACCTCCATTATCAATTATATTCTCCTCCATAATCAACATATTTCATGCAGCACTGTTCTCGTAAACCGTTTGTCAGGGGAGATTCCAAAGGAATTGGGAAATATTACCACTCTGACCTACCTGTAAGTTGCAAGCTTATGTTCTTCTTTTTAGTTTTTCTTTATCTGGCATTATTATGGAGGCTTGAGTTATAAGCATTTCTGTTTCATGGAAAGTTGTAATTAATGTATTTCTGTTTCATTGTCTTAGAAATCTCAAGAACTTCTGTTTTGTTTGTCTTTTGATCTTTATTTTTTATCAGGTCCCTTGAAGCGAACCAATTTTCGGGCATAATCCCCCCTGAACTTGGAAAATTGATCAACTTGCAGACATTGTACATCTCATTTCTTCCCTTGTTATTTTACATTTTTTCCTCCTTTATTTACTTTTGAAAACTTGGTTCAAGGATGACAGAGCATGTAGTCTGATGGTATGTTTCTCTGATATTGTACTTCCAGGATGCTATCTTCCAATCATTTGACTGGAAACCTCCCAGTGTCTTTTGCTGGACTAATAAATCTAACAGATTTGTAAGCTTCTGTAATTCTTTTTCTTTAGTTTAAACCTAAATATTTCCCATGTTATTTGTGCCAGATAAACAGCTTTTGATTGTATAATTCAGTAGGATAAATGATAACAACTTCAGTGGAACCATTCCTAGCTTCATACAAAATTGGGAAAAGCTTGAAAGATTGTAAGATCCCTAATTTATTGTAAGTTCCAAGTTTGAGTCTCAAAAAGAGAACCTTACACACATGCTCATTTTCTAATTACCATTCTTTTAAATTTGAATGATTGAAGAGAAATGCATGCAACTGGGTTGGAGGGACCCATTCCATCGAACATTAATCTTTTGAATAATTTAGATGAGTTGTAAGTATAAGTTCTACTGCTTTCATCTATTTGTCTTATGTGAATATTTTTTGTTATTGAGATTAGATTAACAGTTATGCTCAATGCGGCACGCTATTATGCAGGAGAATAAGTGATCTAAATGGACCAACTAAGGGTTTCCCTATGCTCAGCAATATGACCGGCCTGATCAGATTGTATGTTGACTGATCATATCATCATATAAATTGAAAGAGCGAACTCTGTTTTTTTTCATTGATGTTGGTCAATTTAACATGATTTCGTTATGTATACTAGGATTCTGAGGAACTGTCACATTTCCGGGGAACTCCCTGCATACCTATGGACAATGAAGAGTTTGGAAGTATTGTAAGTAAGCAATGTGAAGTTTGGTGCTTGAAGCTTCTTACACTTGCAGTATTTGCATCATCTTCTTCTTCTATATTGTCAACTATGTAGGCATGCAAATCCTCTGATTGTCCAGAATAGCTTGAGTTTTTTTAATCTATCAATACACTCCACAAAGAAAAACTGTTACCTTTATTACCCTTTTTATTCTAAACTTTGAGCAGCATTGACTATTTCAACTATTGTTTCATGAATTCCAAAACAGTCTGTAAATCTTTTACAAGTTTTTTATCAATTTAGGAAATTAATAATAAAAAAAAGGGAGATTGATTGTAATTATGATGGGAAAATTGTTCTAAATTTTCTGGTGGAAGGAAGAGTGGTGCTTGCAAACTTAATTGCAAGATAAAATGAGTAAGTGGTGCCATAAGCTTTTAAGCTTTTAATATGATCGCAAAAATGGCGCATACAAGCACTCATGTACATCCTGTGCATCTGTTTCATGTAAAGTTTATTCACATTTTTAACTTTAAAACAACAGGTGACTTAGAGTTAGTTTGACATTAGAACTTAGATTATGAGAAGGCTGAAGGTCTAAATTATAGTTGTTGTCAATAGCAAAAATTGTTAGTATGAACCTGGTATAATTTGAAAACCCCTTGTATCTGTGGGTGTGTGTGTTTTCTTCTTGAATTCTGTAGGACAGCTAGCATATGGCCACAAATTGGTATAAGACATCGCACATGAAAACATAGTAACATTTGCTTCTTTATGTTTTTTGTTTAACATTTTACATGGTTGAAGAGTTGATGTTTGGTGTTAGAAGCAGCAAAACTGCTACCATAATGCTAACAAATATGTAAATAAAAACTTTGCTTTTGTTTTTGTATTGTTTTTGGATTACTTCTGGTTGATCTTTTTCATAATAAAAGTTTTTGACCTATTCATATTATGATGTTTATAGGGATGTCAGTTTCAACAAGTTAGTTGGAAAAATTCCAGCCACCATAAGTGCAGAACGCCTGAGATTCCTGTAAGTCTGGTTCAAATCTTAAGGTACATTTATTAAAATTTTAAAGAATCTCATTCCAAACAAAATTAAAAGTGGTAATTTTTGTTTCATGAAACATGATTTTTGTAAATGAAAGAGTAAGCCGAACTTGTCTCTTGATAGGAGAAGGACAAAGCTGGTGTACGTACACTTAGAAGTGCCCACACAAGTAAACATATTTAACAAAGTATCATGACCATAATTGCTCTCTGATTCCGGAGTCTGGACCCTTTTTAGAAAAAAAGAGGCCCTTACTTAATTGCATTCCAAAGGTCAAGGACTCTTGTCAGGGGAGACTTTGGAGTCAGTCCTTTCTTTTCTGCATTTTTCACATGATATAGATAATCACTTGTCTGAAATCTCCACCCTTGTGGTTGCAACCTCAAAAATGTTAGCATTACACAAAATAATAGTAATATGTCATAAAAATCTAGAAATTGCAACAATTAGACTTTTATATCAGATATTTTCTAATTACTTCCGCGTTCTAGGAGAGATACAGCCTACTAATATTGGCTGTTGCTTTATTAGCTTTTTAACTGGCAACTTGCTAAGTGGAGATGTACCAGATTCAATCTTGAGGGACGGAAGCAATGTGTATGTATCTTATCATTTATCATTTGTTCACTTTTTGATCAAGGTGCTTAGCATTTTATTGCTCTGAGCTTTTATCATGTCAATTGACTGTCATGTGTAATGCTTGTGTGCAGTGATTTGTCATATAATAACTTTGCATTGCAAGGCCCTGAGCAACCTGTTTGTGGAGAAAACATGTGAGAATACTTTTGAAACTTTTCCTAAATACTTCCTGTTTGATATGGTGAGGGAGTTTATTTTCATTTTACACATTCTTTTGATCTCACTAGGAACCTAAACCTGAACCTGTTCCGTAGCTCTTCAATTGGAAACAGCTCGTAAGATGCTTTCTCCAGATTTATTTTGTTTTGTTGTTTGTTTGTTTGTAAGCAAATTTTAAAATGAGGAAGGAGAAATTATAGAAGCTAGCATAGATTTTTCTGAATCCACTGTGCATGTTATGCTAAAATATATTCATCCTTGCTCTTTAATATAGACATTTCAGAATCCGCTATGCATATTTTGTGCTAAATTATTTTTGTTCCTTCTTTTTAATAGAAGGAAAATTCTTCCGTGCAAGAAGACTTTCAGCTGCCCTAAATGTAAGTATCTGTTACAATAAGTTTGCAAACCAGTGATGTCCATTGCTCTAAATGTCCTTCCAATTTTATAAACTACTTTTGTAATTTCTTTGTTAACTCATGCATAAAATTTTGAATCACCATCTGGTGCTTCATGCAAATCTCGGCTGATTCCAAAAAATCTGAAAGTAAATAATAGAGATTGTAAACCAAATTGCCCCTTTGCTTCAGAGGAAGCAATTTGATTTAGAGCCCCACAGAGTGGCTTGGGTGGTTAAGGTTTTGGGTTCCTGGTACACAACCAGGGTTCAAACCCCACTTTGACATACCAGGATTATGCCTGGTGTTGGGGCAAGGGGCCTGTTTTAGCACCCAAGGGCTTGCTGTCTGGGTTGGGCACCTAATGGTTCAGCAGAGCTGAGATCCCTTGTCAAAAAAAAATAAATAAATAAACAATATATATATATATATATATATATATATATATATATATATATATATATATATATATCTGTGTGTGTGTGTGTGTGTGTGTGTAAAAAAGAAGCACTCTGATTTATGACTGAGTTTCAGAAGAATATGCTAGTTACATATGTTTCTTTGGCCTGTGTCTTAGTAACCTGAGGTTGCCTTTTATTATTTCACCTGTTCACGAGTGGATTGGTATATATTTATATATATACACACTGAAAGTGCAAGCAATAGGCACCATGGGTAGCTACCATTTATAGTTGAAAAAACTTACCAACTTCTCCTGACTTTTGGCTACAACTCATATCAGCTAGATTCAAACTAAATGATTTACTATATTAAGAAATCTTCATCATTGTAAAAGGGCTTCCCATATGTCTGACGTGCATAGTCTTAACCCAAAATCTTTGAAGAGATGTAAGTAGATTCCTCCCCAAAATCTTCCTTGAAAGTACCTTGTTTAAAATCTATTAGAGGTATGTAGCTCCAAATATCTATTTGCTGTACCCAAAACACTGCCTCTTTAGGTATTTAATTCCTCATCAACTAATCCCTTCTGCATCCCACTAGAACCTGTAGCATTGTACACAATGCACAATAGCTTCCTGCCCTAGTACAATCCAAACGTAAAGGATCAACAAATTCATTGTTTATTGTTACCAAAAATCTTTCTTTGATAGGATGTTTCTCTCCTCTGAAGATGTTCTATGGTGAATATCCTTCTGCCATGTTACTTTCCACGAAAGGAAGGCACTTTGGATACATCTCTAATTGTCTATACAACCTTCCGAGGAAAGTCTGGTCTTCTATCAAAATTTGCACTCTTAGTAAGATTACAATCATGTCATCTTATGCTCACACAAGCTTTCAAACTACAGACTAACTAAAAGAAATAGTCAGAATCAATTCCCCAATCTGGTGCACTCCTGAACTATAAGCAAACAGAGGTTTGCCATTACTTGGATACCACTCATCAAAGCATTTCTCTCACTAGCACACTCAAAAGTTCAAAGCATTGGGCTTTAAAGATTCTTTACCACGCCTAATCAATGTAAAATCCTCCCTTCATGGTTCATAACCAAAGTGATTTATAGATTCTATACCCTATTTAGCAACAATAACCAATCTATATTATTATCCATTGTGGACATCCAAAAACACAAGCACGGACTGTTGAATCAAGTTTGTACTCCTATCTCCTATTTTGAAGGGAGCTTAAACCTCACCCCCACCCCACCCCTCTCCCTCCCCCAACTAACCATACATGGTATTATATTGCAGCTAGCACTACCCCTTAAAAGCTTCTTCTCAAGCCAGCTTTGGAGTAAAGGAACTAAGGTATTGGAAAAACAGTCATTAGGAAGATCTGCAAGGATCCTGATAGTTAGCATCCATGGCAAAATGTTTGTATCATTTTGCTGCAACACTAGAATATTGTTGTGATTTCGTGAGACATTTTCTTGGAACTTGTATATAAAAGGAAGGGCACTCCAGCAGAAACACAAAACATTAATATTCATTTACGAGAAGGGCCATTATTTAGAGTAGTTGGAAGAGTTTCCGGGCCTGTAACCAAGAGCTTACAGGTTTGAGGTATGATAGCCATATCTCATGCAGGAAAGCTGACAGTCTCAGATATCTACATCCTACCACAACTGGAAAAATGGTCTCTTGTTTTAGCAAACTATCAACCAAAATGCTCCTGCATTAATAAATTGGCTATAATAATTATCATTCCAGCCTGCACAGGTGTAATAATATACTTGTGGCTGTAATGAGTAGACAACGTACTTAAAGGTGCATTCAAGCATGTGTAATCAACTATATGAGTGGAACATTTAAATAAATAAAATGCTCAAACGTCTTCTTTGCTCATTATATTTCTTTGTGGGCAGATTCAAATTGTTTTCACGTTAACAGTGGTGGAAAGGACATAATTGTGAAGGAAAACAAAACAACCTTTTCATATGAAGGAGATGGACAAGTAGAAGGTGGTGCAGCTAAATATTTTGTAAATGAACAAAGCTTCTGGGGGTTTAGTAGCACTGGAGACTTCATGGATGATTATGATTACCAAAATACTCGTTATACTGTATCTCTGCAATCATCTACCCTCCCTGAATTATACTTAACAGCTCGCATATCCCCAATTTCTCTTACCTATTTCCATTATTGCTTACAAAATGGGAACTACACAGTAAACCTTCACTTTGCAGAGATACAATTCACTAATGACCTGACATATAAGAGCTTAGGCAGACGTATCTTTGACATTTATGTTCAGGTAAATTGTCACCCTATTTGAAAACGAGCATTTATTTATTATTATTAAGTTGAAAGGACTGACTTAACTGGACTACTTCGTCACAGGAAAGATTAGTGTTGAAGGATTTCAATATTGAAGATGAGGTTGGCAGTGCTGGAAAGCCTTTAGTGAAACAAGTATTGAATGTCGGTGTGACAAATAATATGTTGGAGATCAGATTCTATTTTGCTGGCAAAGGGACAACAAGGATTCCTGAGAGGGGGGTTTATGGTCCCATCATATCAGCCATCTCTGTGTTTTCTGGTAAGTCATTTGTTTGACATTTATTCTCGATCATGCATTTATCAAGAGTACATGCACATATGATTGATTTAAAACTAGCACTACTGCACGAAAGAAGAAGACCTTAGGGGGCATCGCAAATTTGATATGTTTCTCGTAGTTGGTCTTCCCTCGCTGGATAGCACTTGGTATTTGTACAAATCATTGGTTGAGGCCCACAACAATATGCCCACCTCTCCTTTCTGGTTTTGTATAATGCCCAGGATTTTCAATGCTGTGGTACGATTTTTGTTTTTTACAAGGCCTCATCTATATGTCTCGGAAAGGAAGTCTTATATTTTAATTTAAATTTCCATTCTCTGCGTGTTTGACTAGTTTTTCTGTTTCATTGGCAGATTTGAAACTTTGTTCAAGTGAGAAAACGAAGGGAACTGTTTATGTGGTTGTTGGAGCTGTTGGAGCATCATGCCTCATTGCCATTATACTAGGAAGTCTTTGGTGGAAAGGCTACTTGCCAGGAAAATGGCGCAGGAAAAAAGGTAACACCATGTAAAATTAGTTACCCAGATTTGTGCTAATAGTTTAATAAAATTCTATATTGGATCCATGTTTGGCAGGTGTAGGAAGAAATGCAGGTGGGTTGACTTTTACATAGCTGACCAACAACTACTGCCTCACATGGGATCCTTATCTTTCTGGGATGAGATTATGAATTAGCTAGAAAAAGATTGAGATTTCTTTACTATTATAATGCATGCACATTTAGGGAAAAGATTAGTAAAAAGGCATCAAAGTTTCATGGGATTATCTCTTGTTCTGATACAAGTGGCTGCAAATAGTTCACCTGCAGATGATTATACACAATTATTACTTAAGTAAGTTTGATTGCCTATGATATCTTAAAATGGTACTTTCCTGAGAAAGAAGAAAGAAAATTTATTATAGACATGCTCAAGTTGGGAAATAAAAGATGTCCTTTTTCAATGGGGTTTCATGGTCAACTTCTCTTAAGTACTAATTTTGACTCGGTATTACATTAAGACTGACAATTCATTGGCACTTTACATTCTGTCTCCTACTTGAACAGATGCTGAAGGACTTCATTTTCCGAAGGGCACATTTTCTCTGAAACAAATTAGAGCTGCCACTAATGACTTTGATGCTTCTAAAAAGATTGGAGAAGGTGGTTTTGGTCCTGTGTACAAGGTACTTGGGGAAGGACCTCAACTATCCTGTTTGAAGTTTCCTCTGCCCCCTCTTTTTTTCACATCAAAATTATATGAAGTTCTTAATAGAGGTCAGCATGCAGGGTCAATTACCTGATGGTACTGTGATAGCTGTGAAGCAACTTTCATCAAAATCAAGGCAAGGAAATCGTGAATTCTTGAATGAGATGGGCATCATTTCTTGTTTGCAGCATCCAAATCTTGTCAAGATGCATGGATGTTGTATTGAAAGGGACCAGTTATTATTGGTTTACGAGTACATGGAAAATAATAGTCTTGCACGTGCTCTGTTCGGTGAGTGTTCATCATATTAAATGAGCAATTTCAGCTAAACTATTATAATGTATAGTATAATTGAAAGCCTCGTATGGATAATGTTTTAATTTGGCAAGCTGTGTTTTCTTGGGGGACAATTTGTAGGTAATGAAAACAATCAGCTTAACCTGAACTGGCCGACAAGGTTTAAGATCTGTATTGGGATAGCTAGAGGTCTAGCTTTTCTCCATGAAGAATCAAGACTAAAGATCGTTCACAGAGACATCAAAGCTACAAATGTGCTACTTGATGGGGATCTGAATCCTAAAATATCTGACTTTGGATTGGCTAGGCTTGATGAAGAAGAGAAGAGCCACATCAGCACCCGAGTTGCTGGAACTATGTTAGTCACCAAATGCTTTAATAAATTAAAAGCTGCAATTTTTGGTATCGTGTTACTTTTCATTGTTAAATTACTAGAGTTCTTTATCTTGATATGCAGAGGATATATGGCACCAGAATATGCACTATGGGGTTACTTGACCGACAAAGTAGATGTTTACAGTTTCGGGGTTGTTGCTTTGGAAATTGTTAGTGGGAAGAACAACAATAACTATATGCCAAGCGACAGCAATTGTGTTTGTCTCTTAGATTGGGTAATCTTCTTCCTCTGCTTAATACATTGCACTTATGTTGTTGTTTGCAAGACTTGCGGAAGTTTTAAAATTACTTTTGTTCCAGGCCTGCCATTTGCAACAAAGTGGTAGCTTTATAGAGCTTGTTGATGAAACGTTAAAATATGAAGTTGACATAAAAGAAGCAGAAGTTATGGTTAAAGTAGCTCTCTTGTGTACAAATGCCTCCCCAACACTCAGACCTACAATGTCTGAGGTAGTTGGCATGCTTGAAGGACAAATGGCTGTTCCCGACATGATTCCAGAACTGAGTTCATATACTGAAGATTTGAGGTTCAAAGCCATGAGAGACCTTCGTGAGCATGAGCAAAGTCATAGTTTCAGTGGGAGCCAAACACAAAAGTCAACCACTATTCAAACGTTTAACTCTTCGTCGTCTATATCTGAGAATACCAGTTACGAGATAAGCTCAGAACCAAAACTCTCTGATCATGTGCAATAGCATTTATCTGAGGTTCTTAAAGAGTCCTTGACAAGATGAAACAGTGTACTGGCTCTTTCACTGTTGTGATGTTGAGTTCAGGTATTTATTTGAAATTTAACTGGGTGGGTCTGCATCATTCAGCATAAGAATTTGACGAGGAATTTATCGATATGAAGTAAATTTTTTTTATATATTTTTTTGCAGGTTGAGCGAGGGAGGAGAGGTTTTAATTAACTATTATATAAATTATAAATTAATTTTATTCATATTTATCATGCGGTTGTGTACATGCAATTGGAAATTTTGAGTTTGATTCCTGATTTCTTTGTAGCTGTCTTCCTGACTCATTTCCACAATTTAACGTGAAGTGTGCAATAATTAATCAGTTTTAGTGGGAAAACTGTTAAGCGAAAAACTTAACAAAGCTTGAATGTGAAGAAGATAGCTAGGGAGAAAGAAGAAAGATGAAGGAAGGGAGAAAGAGAGAGATTCTGAAGAATCAGTTTTGTGATTTTTCAATTCATACCCTCATAGCTAGCCGTTACAGCCTTTATATGCTAGCTAATGCTTATTTGGCGTAACTAACTACTGCTAGGTCATACATGCTATTACAACTATTGGCCACATCATTTATTAGTTACAACTGAATCTACATCAGCAACTAGCTGTTATTACTAACTACAACGTCTACCTCATCGCTTGCCTTGTGCTTGTGACCCCTGTATCTTTGCCTTGCCAATAGCTCTTAAGTCGTAACAATACCCTCCTCTCCAACATATCCTTGTCCTCGAGGATCAAAGCGAAGTCGGAAGCCGAAGTTCCAAATCCTCCGGAATTTCCCAAGTAGCATCATCAACGAGTCATACCAACCCATTAGATTAAACCCATGACTATCGCTCGATTATCCTTCTTCATAATCCTCTTATCCAACACTGCCAGCGGGGTAAAGGGCAATGTGACCTTCACCGATCATAGGTGGGAGGTCGGTAGCAATTATCGCATTGTCACCCAACTTCTTCTTCAAAAGTGACACATGAAAAGCTGGATGCACTAAAGAATGGGGTGGCAAATCCAACTTGTAAGCTACCCGCCCCACTTTTTGCAACACCGTATAGGGACCAAAATACCTAGGGTTCGGTTTGAAGTTCTTCCTCGAGGTCACACTGGTCCGTCAATATGGTTGAAGTTTGAGGTAGACCCGGTCCCCTACTTCAAACACCCGTTCGGTCCTCCTCATGTCCGTTAATTGCTTCATTCGATGCTAAACTCTACCCAACCGAGCACCTAAGAAGAGATCCACGACTCGCCTTTCCCCTATAACTTCCTTAATAGCCACAACGAGTGATGTGCCTTGTAAAATGAGCTCCCGATGAGGTAGGGGTACCCATTCAAAGCTTGAAAAGGGGATATTTGAATTGTCAAATGGTAGTTGGAGTTATACTACCATTGAGCTAAATGCAACCACTCGTACCATTTTCTTGGGCGGTCCATACACATGCACCGTAGGTAGGTTTCGAGGCACTAATTAAGCCGCTCCGTTTGGCCATCGGACTAAGGATGATATGTAGAACTCATACAAAGTTTGACCCCTAAGGATTTGAACAACTCCTTCCGGAACACACTTCGGTGAAAACCTTATCCCAATCTGTAACAATAGATGCCGGTAAGCCATGTAATTTGTATATCACGTTCCGGAAAAGTATTAGCTACATCCTTAGCTGAAAATGGATGACGAGAGGGCAATAAAGTGACCATACTTCGTGAATCCGTCCACCACCATCAAAATGGTATCCTTGCCTTTTGATTTGGGCATGCCCTCTATAAAATCCATAGAAATGTCCCTCCATGTTCCGAGTTGGAATCGACGGAGGCCGTAGTAAGCACAGGTAGGCAACTCGCTCCGATTTAGCTCACATGCATGTGTCACACCCAACTACCAATTCTTTGATCGGCAATTTCATAGCCGATCGGTAGAAAGCCCTCTTAAGCTTTCGATAAGTATTTTGAACACCTGTATGACCCCTTATTGCGGATTGATGTGCAAAGTTTATCAATAGTGTTCGCGAGCTTAGGATCCGCCTCGATATGGAATCTTTATTTGTACCTCGGTATGCCACGATAGTAAGAAAATTGAGGAAAAGAACTTTCTTGAAGCTCTTTTGCTCGAATAACCTCTTGAGCCTTAGCATCATGTACATAAGACCCTTGGATATCCCGATATCAAGTAGGGATCGAGTAGTGATAACATAAAGTTAGGTCTCTGAAGACTCGTCGTCCGTGTTGTGGTGATGGATCCTATGAGATAGGGCATCGCCTACTACGTTTTCCTTTCCTTTTCGATACCGAATTTCAAACCTCAATCCCAACGACTTAGTCAAATCTTTCCTTTGAATCGGGGTGTGAAGGCTCGCTATTCCAATAGGTATTTAAGGCTTTCATGGTCGGTCTTGATGATGAATTTGTTTGCCTCTAAATAATGTCTCCATTTATCTACTTGTCATAAGAATAGCCATATATTCCTCGCTCATAGATAGACATCCTTTGATGTTTTGGACACAAAGCCTTGCTAAAAAAAACTAATGGCTCGCCCTCTTATGATAACACCGCTCCTACTCCACTGCCACATACATCGGTTTCCAATACAAAAGGCTTATGGAAGTTAGGTAATGCTAACATAGGTGCGACACACAATCTCCTTTTTAACTCCTCAAAAGCTCCTTAAGCTTGCTCATTCCAATGGAAGTTATTCTTCCTTAGCGAGGTCGATAAGTGGTTTGTCGACTACACCATAACTTTTGATAAACTTCCTGTAATACCCAACTAAACCCAAAAACCCTCTCAATTCCTTGACCGATTGAGGAGTTGGCCGATTGCTCATGGCTTCGGTCTTCTTAGGATTGGTGGTTACCCCAACTCCTAAAATAGTGTGGCCTAAGTACTCCACCCGACCTTAACGGAATGTGCACTTGGATCGCCTTGCATATAGCCGATTCTTGAGCGGAACTTCCAATAGCTTAGCAAGGTGCTTGTATATGTGCCTCCAATGTAGAGTCTGTAGATGAGGATATCATCAAAAAACACCAAAATAAATTTTCTCAAATAAGGCTCCGATCTTGAATTCATCATCGCTCGGAAGGTTCATTGGGGCATTAGTCAACCCAAAAGGCATGACTTTGAATTCGTAATGCCACTTGATATGTCTCGAAAGTCTGTCTTTACGATGTCCTCTTCACACATTCGACTTGGTGATAACCCGAACGCAAGTCTATTTTAGAGAAAAATGAGAACCACTGCGGCTCATCCAATAGATCATCAATCGGAGGTATCGGAAATTTGTTTTTGATTGTGATGTTGTTCGGTTGACAATAATCCATGCAAAATCTCCGGGTGCCATCTTTTTCTTCACTAATAGCACATGTGAGCAAAGGGGCTGCGAGCTTGGTTGTATTATCCCATTATGTAGCATTTCCTTCACTAGCTTCTCAATCTCTTCCTTATACACATAGGAACTCCGATATGGCCTAATATTCACGGGCTTAGTGCTCGGCATAAGTGGAATTCTCTGATCAAACCTTCGTATGGGTGGCATTGACTTTGGCTCGGAAAAGACCTTTTCATATTTCATTAATAAAGCTTGTATCTCTCTATTCTCTACGCTTTACGGTTCACTTATGAGCTATAATAGAGAATAATTACCCCACCACTCCATAGATAGCAGATTTGAGAGACTTATACACCTTGTCCATCGAAATCGGTTGTAATGTAACCTCCTATGTTACCCCTTTCAATTCAATCACTCTTCCCCTCTTCTTAAAAGACAGACTTCAAATTAATGAAATCAAATAATAACGGGAGTACATCCTCAACCAATCCACCCCCAACACCATGTCACATGCCCCTAATTCGAGTACCCTCGAATCGGCTCCGAACTCGTGCCCTTACATGAACCATATAAAGCTTGGGCTCCTGGCTGAACATCTCATGCTCGCCCTATTTGCTACTCGTCACTTGTAAGGGTAGTGGTTTTTTCCACCACCGCATCCACTGCTCGCACCATCTTCATACTAATGACACTATGGGTATTGCCACTATCCATTAAGATAATGATCTCATTTTGCTTGAAACACTCTTTGATCTTGATGGTGTTGTTTGCGTACCTCCTCGCTAAGGCGGGCAAAGATAACCTCGTCTCTTCATATTGCCCTTCATTCGGGATCCTCTCTTCCCCAAGTTATTCCACTTTTTTCATAAAATCATCCTCCTCCCCTCTAAGCATTCCATCGTATTCAATGCCTTTTTAACACATTGATGCCTTGGAGTGTACTTATCCCCACATCCGAAACGAGTCTCATCCTCCTCCTCCGGTCATACAAGGTTTCGATTGGGTCTTTGGAGGTAGGGGTACGGTCGGTCTATGGTGATTGTCATGGTTTAGTTTAGGTAAGGCACTAGTAGGCTTATGGACATGGTTTGCGTGTAGTCCGTTTGTATTGTAGGAAGGGTATGGTGTAGGGGAAGTTCGGTCGGTGTTATAAGGGTAAGTGATTACGGGTGGTAGCTTGGTTTTTATAGCCATGGCATTCACGGATTCTTCTTGCCATTTAGCCTCGATCAAAGGCTTGCATTAGGGTGGTAGGTCGTAAGATTTTAAGCATTGGTTTGATGTCCTCCTTGAGTCCACTAATGAAGCTAAACACAAAGTAGGCTTCGTGAGGTGAGGATTACTAGTACTCATCGGTGATTTAAGCTCTTCAAACTTTTCTACATACCTTTCCACTTCTTTCTCCCGACGAAGTTTATTAAATTCCTCCACTGCATCCCCTACTATTACCAAACCTCTTACAAATTTCGCCCACAAATTCCTCCCAATTACTCGGATCGTTCCTAACCACAAAACCTTCGAACCAAATTTCAGCTCTCCCTTCCGGATACATGGAAACAATCTCTACCCATTGGTGTACTGGAATAAAATTCAATTTAAAGTATTTCTTGCACCTCCGAACCCGACCTCGAGGGTTATCACCCCCAAACCATTGTAATTCTACTTTTGGTATAGCGGAACCATAACCGGTTCTCATAAAATCGAAGTTAACGGAGTCTCACTAGTCCGACCTTGATGGGAAGGTTTAACCATTGCATTCACTCCATGCGATGAACTGGAAGATGACCGAGGCTCTTTTTTAGGTTCCTTGCTCGCCGTCAAAGACTAAATCGTCTTAATTATAGCTTCTAGTTGAAGGCGAGTTCGCTGATTTTGCTCCAGCATATGCTGATCCCGTTCCTCGCATTCATTGATTTTGCTCCGAGCATCTACTTTCGGATTTCTTCCATTCCTTCTTGAAGCACACCTTGGATCTGTTCCTCATGCCTACGGCCGTGCTCCTCCAATGTTCTAAGTCGATTGTTGTCTATCATGGTTAGATATGGAACTCTGCTCTAATACCAATTTGTTAAGCGAAAAACTTAACAAAGCTTGAATGTGAAGAAGATAGCTAGGGAGAAAGAAGAAAGATGAAGGGAGGGAGAAAGAGAGAGATTACGAAGAATCGGTTCGTGATTTTCTAATTCATACCCTCATAGCTAGCCGATTACGGCCTTTATATGCTAGCTAATGCTTAGTCGGCGTAACTAACTATCGCCGGGTCATACATGCTGTTACAACTACTGGCCACATCATTTATTAGTTACAACTGAATCTACATCGACAACTAGCCGTTATTACTAACTACAACGTCTACCTCATCGCTTGCCTTGTGCTTGTGACTCCTATATCTCTGCCTTGCTAGTAGCTCTTAAGTCGTAACAAAAACTTTTCAAAGATCATGTTGTGTTCCATATTTTTCCAAGACGTTAAATTTCAAAAGAACAGTTGGGATGTTAGCTGAAGTTTTTGCTGCATTAATGGTTCCAAACGTTGGTAATTCCAGTGATGAATAGCAATGATATTGCCAACAGTAACCGTCTGGTGTCTGACTTGGTGGGTTCAATTAGCAAGGGGGAATAATGAGACCTGGGAAAAAAAAAAAGGAAAAAGTCGAGAGTTTCTTGAGATTAATTGCATCCACCAGACGTTTTTATTACCGAAGGAAAACATGGGTTTTTATTTAGGTATCTTTTACTATGAACGCTTGAAGATCTAGCCTCTGTAGCACAGCGGTAGTGCATTTGCCTTTTAAGCAAGAAGTCGTGAGTTCGAACCTCACCAGGGGCAATCTGATTTTAAGTTTCTTATTTTTCAGGTCAGGAGCCTCTGTTTTGCATTGTTCTTTTTTGTATTTTAAGCACCGCCCTCGTTTAACTACTTGAATTGAAACAAATTAAATTTAGTTTCTTACTTAAGTAAATTTTGTTTGAGCCAAATTAATGAAAGATTTTAAAGTGGCTATGTACAGGACAAATGCAATACATCTGAAAGAGAAAGAAACGAGAAACATTAAAAGTCATATAAGGTTATCCACATTTCAGCTGCTATTCAATATTTGACTCACTCGTCCATGCATCCATTCAATCAAGTGGAAAATATAACGAGTAAATTATAAATTAGTCCCCCTATTTTTTCAAAAAGATTTAAATAATTCTTTTAATTTTAATAACTAGTTAATTAGTTTCTATATTTTTAAATCAATTTATAATTTAATTATTTTCATTATTTGTAAATTTATATTTTTTTATAAATAAAAAAATACATATAAAAATATGAAAAAAAATTGATGAAAAAATACATTTTTAAAAATAAAATAATATTAAATAAATCATGATCAATACGAGTAAAAGAATCGATTAATTAATTTTTGAAATAAAAAAATATTTAATTCATTTTACAAAACTAGATGTATTTATATGTACTTTACTCAAACAGAGTAATATCTGTATCTTTTTTATTATTATTTTATTTTTTTATAAATGGCAATGATAATCATTAGCCTCCACGAGGCATACTAGCCACTAAAAAATAATAAAGAGAACAAGATACTAATCACATCAGAATGGTTAAAAAACGATACCGATAGTTCCTCTCTTTAATACGACCAATAAACTTATCATCACATTAAATAAAAGAAAGTTCTTATTTTTTTTTATGATTTTTTTTGTGTGTTTAGCTTATGGTTTGGGTTGTGATTGTAGATGTGACAGTACTTACAAAAGTAGTTGTAAATAGAATAGGAAAAAAATTTGTTAAAATCTACAGTTAGACTAATTTTTTTTCAATAAAGTTTATATATATATATATAAAGGACTAAATTCATTATTCGTCTAATACAAAGCTTTGGACCGTGTAAGAATAGATATAGATATTCCGATAAAATTAGTATCCATTCATTGTTTTTGAGATATATTAGAAAAATTGATTTGACGAGGCTTAAACCCGGATCAATTTAAAAAATTCAATTATTACTTCTTTTAGTTTTTGCTAATAAATTGAAATAGTTTAGCTCAAAAAAATCCAATTGATTTTTATAAAAAATTGACCGTCCGAACATGAATGATGTGATACTGTCCTAGTAATTAAGGATCATTCTCAAATCACTATAAATATCAATATTATATTATTATGAGAATGACTTTTTCTGGATTACAACTTTTGATCTCTAGTAAAACTTCAAAATTCTCTCTCTCATATCTCTCGTGCTTAAACATAAGACAACATCCAAAACTCTATTTGTTTAGACTTTGGCCACTCGCATATTTGTCACTTAATTTATGCCTTACTAGCACTCGCATGCTCATCCTTCTACGTGTCTCACTACTTACATCATTCTACTTAGGTGGTTAGCCGTTGTTTTTACTAGTTATAACACTAATTCTCTCTATCTTGACTAGTCCGTCGGTCACCCATTTGATCAGTTCTCAATAACCCCCATATATACTAAAATTTTAATTGTAAAAGTATGATTAAAATTTTTTCTACACTACTTGAGTAATTATTATCAATTTTTCTTTTATTCCTATTAATATCATCACTCATTGTTACCATCTCGACCTTCCTTATTGAGAGTTGTATTGTTTCAATTTGGTAATCTATACTTAATTGGTTGAAATAAAAAATACAAAATCTTAATTAACCATAGTGATAATGGAAGGGGTTTTTTTCTTAACAAATTGGAAAAAAGATAGGGTGCAAATAATATATATATATATATATATATATAAAGACAAGCATTATTTTGAAAATTTTAATTTGAAGATAAAATGTGTTTCAAAGGGGATCATTTAAAAAATATATTTTTTTTAATTAGAAGAAATCTAATCAATAAAATAATAATTTATTACAATGTATTATATTATTTATATAATTATTTATTGATTTTTAAAAAGATTTTGGACAAAAGTTAATAAAAATATTCAAATAATAGTCTAATAGCAATCTAACTACTAAGATTTTGATTTTTTTTAGTTCAAGTAATTACCTTGAGCCTTTTATGTTATGTACTCATTATGATTATAATGTTTATGCTAACAAGTTATGACTAATTAAATTAAGATCACTAAAACCTACCCCGTAAACATTGTTGAAATAATGTAGTATCGCTTAAATTTACTAGGAGTTAGTTTGTAGAGCTAGTTTAGAATTCTTATTACGTTTGTAATATTCCTAACCTAAAACCCTCATAAAAATGTAATTGTGATGTATGGATATTTTGTTTAATTAAAAAAGGCGTGTTTATTGAATGATTGAGTAAGATTGAAGTTTAATTAAGGATAAAAGAAACACAAGTAAAATTAATGAAATGAGTTTATAGAATTAGAGAAGGTTAAATTAGAAAATGATACCCTTAATTGATATGCTTATGCATTGACAAAAGAGGTGCAATTACAAAACATAAGGGCATAATCGTAAATATTAAAGGTGTAAGTCTTTAATTGAAATAATTAAAAAAACTTTAGGAACTTAAATTAACTTTAGAATTAGCCTAGACGAGGGTCAAATTGATGAAAAATGTGAAGTTATGAACTGAAATTATATGATCAAATTACAAGGTTTGAAAGTTGGAGGGCTAAGGTATAAAATGCCTATAATGTGAAGGACCCCCTAGTTGAACTAAAGGGAAAAAAGTGGTGAAAAAATTTGGATTTCTAGATTTTAAAGAGAGAAAAACGAGGAGGGAGAAAGAAAAAAGGAAAAGAAAAGGGAGAGAAGAAGATGAGAAAAATCTAGGGCAAGAGAGAGAGACTTCACCCATCCAAATTCACCACTTCCAATCTCTTTAATCCACTTAGAAACATCTTAAATTAGCCTCCAAATCATCTTAGAAGATCAAGCAAGGAGAAAGGAAGAATTTCTCCTATTTGATCGAAATTTTTAAGGAAGGAAGAAGAAGGAAAAAGCCAAAAAGAAAAGAAAAGGAATCAATCAAATTCTAAGTGAGGTAAGAATAATTCCTCACTTACATCATAAGAATTAGATATTAAGGTGTTAATTAGTGTTAATTTAGAGTTACTTTCTGAAAGGTTAGTAAATGGGATTGTTATGAATTATGTGTTAATGACTCGAATTTCAATGATTTGTGATGTGTATGTGTTTATAAATGTGAAGAATTTGTTAGTCATGATGTCTTGCTAAAGATCAATCTTAATTTATGTATCAAGAGATAAAAGAAGTATCTTTTATTTTTTTTGATACTTGTCAACATATCTATGAGCCTATTGAGTCATATGCATAAGTTTAAACATTCGAAGGAAAAGAGAAGCAAAAGTTTTTGAAAAATTTTCTTATTTTGGAAATCGATTACTTATTTCAAAAATTCATTTTCTAATTTAGAAATCATTTTTTTAATTTAGAATTGAATTACCTAAAATGAAAATCACTTTACTATTTTGAAAATTAGTTTTCTAAAATGAAAATCGATTTCCTAATTTAGGTTTAAAGGTAACTTGAAAAATTGTTTACCAATGCCTCCCTAAAAATAACTTATCCAACTTATTTGGATGGTCCAAATTAATTGTTGAGTTATTGAGCCAAGTTACTTAAGTAAAAGCTTGTAATATATTTTAAGTGGATGAATAATCTTGAAGACTAAAGAATAAGGCTTAGGCTTTATGTGGATAAGGTCAAATAAAACCCACATAAATTGTAACTCATTGTCCAAGAAGGACTTGCTTGTCGTGTGTGTGTGTGTGTGTGTGTGTGTGTGTGTGTGTGTGTGTGTGTGTGTGTGTGTGTGTGTGTGTAGAGAGAGAGAGAGAGAGAGAGATTCAAAAGTGAACAACAATAATTAATCTAAAAGTTAGATAAAAAAAAAAGTGCATCTCTCCCAAAAAGGAAAAATTTGTCACAACCCTCTCTCTCAAAATTGCACTAACTCTAAAAAGATTTTTATGAGAAAATAAACATAGCGAGAAAAGATTGGAGGTAACACTCTATGATTGATATCGCTTCTTATGTGAGTGTTTAAACTGTGTGGATTATCAATGGAGATCGGACGTTTGAACGATTCGTTTTGTAAATTTGAATCATGCGCCACAAAGGTAACTTTTAATCATTTTGTTATTAATATAGTTAGTAGATTCAACGATTGATCCTAGGAACTTTAGATAGAGGAGAACAAAATTTTTATTTATTTTGCACCTCTATAGGATGCATAATCTTTCAATACATACAAATACCTTTAATATAAAATTTTCAAAAGAAAATTTTTGTTGCATGCAAAAATATTTATTCTTGTAAAGACTTTATTTGGGTGTCAAAATTTTAGGAGTAAAATATTTTCATTAATATGTTATTTATTATTATTATTTTAAACTTGATCCTTAATTAATTTAATGATTTTTTCTTTGATTTATCACTTTAATTTTGGATAGATTTTTTTTAAAATTAATATTGGTTCCATGTAATGTAATGTTAAATTTAATTGTTAATAATTTTAATAAAAATGATATATTTAAGAAAATATGAATAAAAAATATTGATGTGGCATAACATTAATAACTTTTTTAAACTATGTAAAAAGTCGAAGATAACTTTTTTTTTAGGATATAAAAAGTAGTTAAAATACAAATTTTATTTTTTTATTTATAAGAAACTCATGTCTTTCTATAAATATATAAAAAAAAATCTGTATTATTGTGTGATTGATATATTTTTTAACTCAATAATGTTAAATTAGAATATTAGGACTTTTCTAGAAAAACTCATGAACCGTTAAATGCATTTGCTGTTCCAATCGATGGTAAGGCCAAGGCATTGGAAATGGGGATTCAGAACCATTTTTTCAATAAAATGAAAAAAAATACATATATATTAATTACATCCACCAGGCGATTTTATGACCAAAGTACTGGGTATCTCCATCACTCAATGATTTGGCATTTGTTGTGTTTGTTTTTATAATACTTTTCGTCAACACAACTTCAAGGCATGTGGCCTCTGTAGCACAGTGGTAGTGCATTTGCCTCTTAAGCAAACAGTCGTGTGTTCGAACCACACCAGGGGCAGTGTTACGTTCTTCGGGACGTTCCTTTTTCTTTCCCTCCCTAACTCTTCCTCCTTCATGTTTCATGCTTGGGATTCAAAGTACCTAGCTATGTCCAATACAAATACAATAATTCTGTAGCACGGTGTTATGTTATTTATTGAATGTTGATTTATTGATTCATGCATCCATTTGATTTAATCAAGTGGAAAAAAGAGACATGTCTGCATCACTCTACTTCCTTAGCATTAAAAAGCTCAAAGTTCTGTCTGATACCTTCGTCGCTGTTTATGGGGGAATCTGCTTAGAATTGTCAATCATGTCTGCTTCAGTGCAGTTATTAGCAACGAAACTATTCTTTGGCAAATAGAAAATTCAAAGTAGGTATTGCAGAAAATTCTATGTGGGTCTACTTAAAGAATCACCTCTTGCCACAATAATAATATTAATAATAATAAAAATGAAATAAATAAATAAAAATAAAATTAAACCAGCATCTAATCTTATTAAATATTCAATGGTTAATTTGCTTTCTTTAATTTTTAACGCCCTTTAATTGTAACACAAAAAGTATTTTGTCTTTGATCTTAAGGCAATCAAATGTTAATTGGTAGTAGTCATGGTAAGAGGTTTTCACCATTAACAAGATGAATTTAGTTCATTTCCTACGCACATACAAGATTTTTCTTAGAGTTAGTTTCAAATCTTCTTTGTTTTATTTAAGGATAAAAATATTATTTAATAATTAAGGTTTTTTTCAGAAGATAATAAGAATATGTTCTTCTCCAAATAATATTAAAGATGTATTCTTTTTCATATAATATTAAAAATGTATCCTCCAGAAGAATTTTAATTTCAAATCTACGAAGCCTCACCGTGATGTATTATATTTGACTGATTGTAATAAGATTCTTTCAATATTTTATTTATCTCCATCTTTAATGAATTTTTTTTCATGAAAAATAAAAATATAAAGTGTCTAAGTTAAATGAAGAGAGGATGGTTGTGTTAAAAGAATTAAAATAAGTTATAATTAGGATACAAATATGCAACAAAAAAAAAAAAACAAAGTAATTAATAGTTTGACTTTTTAATGATAGATAATAATTTTGAAACATCTCAAATTGATAAGATAAATAAACTATTTGAGATGGAAGAAGTAAACGTGTGGTCATTATTTTTCTAATATGGACCATGGGCCCAACGAATTTGACTGCATATTACATCATTCTATTTGAATTCTTAAATTCATAGTCATTTTGTTAAAAAAAAAAAAAAATTAAACTTGATGGCTCTAAATAGAAATCTAATATCTTAATTTCAATCCCTAAAATCATAGCCGTTGTTTGGTATTCTTGTATTTTTAAAATACTTATTTTTACACCTATTTTTGGTTTTTCTTTCAAAGCATACACATGACAATTTAAAAAATATGAATAATAATAGATGCTTTTTATTTGTTTAAGAACTGCTTTTTTATAGGCTTAGGCTTCATTTGTTTGGAGAAAAACAATTTTTATAGAAAAATCAATTCTAAAAAAACTATTTTTTAGAAAAAAAATTTTCAAAAAAATATTTTTTGACGTTTGAAAATTATATGAAAAAAACTTCTAAAAAATATATTCTAGTGTTTATTTGATTCAGAAAATTGAAATACAAAAATACTTTTTTTTTTTTGGAAATTGAATTGATAATTTAGTCTAAAAAATGGTTTTACAAGTTTTACAAATTATTAGTTATCATTTATAGATAATTATTTATTTGATTTTGGAAGATTAATGTTGGAATAATTTATAACTAATTATTGATTATAATTACCAATAAAATTTTACAACCGATTAAAATTAATCACAAATTATTGATGTAGTTACAAATGAATAGACAGAATAGTGTTGAAAAATAATATATTTATTAATGAATTAATTAGTTTTAATTTTGTCACAAATGATTTTAATCTTGCAATAATCATTTTCAATCATTTAAGTATATTTTAGGCGGTATTTGGGATAATGGTAAAACAAAATAGAGATAAATTATGAAAATATTTATTTTAAAAATAATTATAAGGTGTAAAATTATTTTTTTAAGAATATTTAATGTATTTATAAATAAAAAAAATCAAATGTTAGTAGAAATGGAAAACGATAATTAATAATAATTTATAAGAAATAATTAAAAATTAATTTGATATATTTTAAATAAAAAGGAGATAGAGAAAAAAATAGTTAAAATATATTGAGAGAGAGGTGAGCAATGCTTTGGAAATCAATTTTTTGGAGGGAAAAGAGAAGCAAACGTTTTGGAAAAAGTTTTATTTTAAAAATCGAGTTTCCTATTTCAAAAATCTGTTTCCTAATTTGAAAATCAATTTTTTAATTTTGAAGTCGGTTACCTAAAATGAAAATCATTTCTTATTTTGAAAATCAGTTTTCTAAAATGAAAATATGTTTTCTAATTTAGGTTTAAATGTGACTTGGGAAATTATTTACTAACGCGTCCCTAAAAATAACTATCTAACTTATTTAGATGGTCCAAATTAATTATTAAGTTATTGGACCAAAAGAGTTTAGGCCAAATTGCTTAAGTAAAAGCTTTTAAGTTATTTTAAGTGAATGAATAATCTTAAGCATTAAAGGACAATGCTCGGGCTTTATGTGGATATGGTCAAATAAAGCCCACATAAATTGCAATTCTTTGTACTAGAAGGACTTGCATGCTGCGTATATATATGTATATGTGTAGAGAGAGAGAGAGAGAGAGAGAGAGAGGCAAAAGTGAACAACAACAATTAATCTAAAAGTTAGATAGAAAAGCACGTCTCTCTCAAAAAGACAAAAGTTGTCGCAACCCTCTCTTTCAAAATTGCGCCAACCCTAAAAAAATTTTTGAGAGAAAATAAACATAGCGAGAAAAGATTGAAGGTAATACTCTATGATTTATGTCGCTTCTTATGTGAGTATTTAAACTACGTATATCATCGATAAGGACCGGACGCTTAAACGGTTCTTTTTGTAAATTTGAATTATGCGCCACGAAGGTAACTTTTAATCATTTTGTTGTTAATATAGTTAGTAGATTCAACGGTTGATCCTAAGAACTTTAGATAAAGGAGAACAAAATTTTTGTTTATTCTACACCTTCATAGGATGCATGATCCTTTAATACATACAAATACCTTTAATATAAAATTTTCAAAAGAAAATTTTTGTTGCATGCAAAATTATTTATTATTGTAAAGACTTTACTTGGGTGTCAAAATTTTAGGAGTAAAATATTTTCATTAATATGTTATTTTTTATAATTATTTTAAACTTGATCCTTAATTAATTTAATTATTTTTTCTTTGATTTATCACTTTAATTTTGGATAGATATTTTTCTTAAATTAATATTGATTCCATGTAAAGTAACATTAAATTGAGTTATTAATAATTTTAATAAAAATGATATTTTAAGAAAGTATGGATAAAAAATATTGATGTGCCATAAAATTAATAACTTTTTTAAACTATGTAAAAAGTAAAAAAGAACTGTTTTTTTTAGGACATAAAAAGTAGTTAAAATGCAAATTTTATTTTTTATACTTATAAGAAGCTCATGTTGTTCTATAAAACTGTATTATTGTGTGATTGATATACTTTTTAACTCAATAATGTTAAATTAGAATATTAGTACTTTTGTAGAAAAACTCATGAAACGTTAAATGGATTGGCTGTTCCAATTGATGGTAAGGCGTTGTACATCAAGGAAGGCATTGGAAAATGGGGATTCTGAACGGTTTTTTTCAATAAAACGAAAAAAAAAATTATACATTAATTACATCCATCAGGCGATTTTATGACCAAGCTCCTTCACGGTTTGGCATTAGTTGGTGTTTTTCTATAATTCATTTTATCTGTAGCACAGTGGTAGTGCATTTGTACCTTAAGCAAAGAGTCGTGTGTTCGAATCACATTGAAGGCGCAGTGTCACTTTCTTGTTTCATACTTGAGATTCAAAGTACCTAGCTATATCCAATTCAAATACAATAATTCTGTTGCACAGTGTTTTGTCATTCATTGAATGTTGATTGGTTGATCCATGCATCCATTTGATTTAATCTATGATGAAGTAAAGTATAGTCAAGTGGAAAAAAGAGTCATGTCTGCATCACACTCTACTTCCTCAGCATTAAAAAGCTCAAAGTTCTGTCTGCCACCTTTGTCTCTCTCTTTATGGGGGAATCTGCTTAGAAAAGTCAGTGCAGCTGTTAGCAACCAAACTCTTCTTTGCCAAATAGAAAATTCAAAGTAGGCATTGCAGAAAATTCTACGTGGGTCTACTTAAAGAATCACATCTTGCCAAAAAAAAAATCAAACCAGCATCTAATCTTATGAAATATTCAATGGTTAATTTTCAACGCCCTTTAATTGTAACATAAAAAGTATTTTGTCTTTGATCTAAAAGCATTGTTTTAAATATACAAGGGCGTCGAATGTATGTTAGTAGTGGTCATGGTAAGAGGTTTTCACCACTAACATGATGAATCGAGTTCATTTTCTACGCTCATACAAGATTTTCCTCAGAGTTAGTTTCAAATCTTTATTTATTTAAGGGTAAAAACATTATTCAATCAGTTTGTATTTCAATATACATAATTAAGGTTTTTTAGACGATATTAAGAATGTGTTCTTCTCCAAATAATATTAAAAAGGTATCCTTTTCCAGATACTATTAAAAATGTATCCTCGAGAAGAATTTTAATTTCAAATCTCTGAAGCCTTACAGTGGCTTATTATATTCGACTGATTGTAAATAAGATTCTTTCAATAATTTATTTATCTCTATCTTTAATGATTTTTTTTTCATGAAAAATAAAAATAAAAATTGTCCAAGTTAAATGAGGAGAGGATGGTTGGGTTAAAAGAATTAAAATAAGTTATAATTAGGATACAAATATGTAACACAAAAACAAAGTAATTAATAGTTTGATTTTTTAATAATAGATAATAATTTTGAAACATCTCAAATTGACAAGATAAATAAACTCTTTGAGATAGAAGAAGTATGTGCTTGTGTGGTTATTATTTTTCTAACATGAACTATGAAGGGCCCAATAAATTTGACTGCATGTTACATAATTCTTTTTGAATCCTTAAATTCATAGTCATTTTGTTAAAAAATTAAACTTGATAGCTCTCAATAGAAATCTAATATCTTAATTTCAATCCTTAAATTCATAGCCGTTGTTTGGTATTCTTGTATTTTTAAAATACTTAGTTTTATACCTATTTTTGGTTCTTCTTTCAAAGCATAACACATGACAATTTAAAAAATATGAATAATAATAGATGCTTTTTATTTGTTTAAGGATTGCTTTTTTATAGGCTTAGGCTCCTTTTATTCGAAGAAAAATAACTTTCATAGGAAAATCAATTCTAGAAAAACTATTTTTCAAGAAATTATTTTTTTAAAAAATATTTTCTGACGTTTGGCAATTATATATGAAAAATATTGAACAATATATTTCAATGTTTGTTTGATGTATAAAATTAAAATACCAAAATAATTTTTTTAAAAAATTAAACTGATAATTTAATCTAAAAAATAATTTTATATATTATTAGTTATCATTTATAGATAATTATTTATTTGGTTTTGAAAGTTAATGATGGAATAATTTATAACTAATTATTGATTATAATTACCAACAAATTTTTATAACTGATTAAAATTAGTCACAAATTATCGATTTAGTTACAAATAAATAGTTTTGAAAAAATAATGTATTTATTAATAAATTAACTAGTTTTAACTTTTTTCACAAATGATTACAACAACTAAAGAGTTAAAAAAAGCTTTAAACAAAAAAGGACTTAAATTCATACTTTTACTCTCAACTGTGCACCCAATTACGATCAGTAAGTAGCTCATCTAAGAGATGGTATTAAAGATGCGTTAAAGCTGCTGCATAAATTATTTAATTTTTTTTCTGTAATTTTCATCATTTACAGTTCCCTAGTCGGAAAAAGAAAAATAGCATGTGTTCCATTGTATATCTGTACATATGGATTAGAAACGTGGTGTCGGTGCTCTTTTATGAAACGTGGATGGATAAATTAGTGATAATTTTTTCTTTTTCTTTTTCATTTTCAGTTTTCTTCTTCTTTTTGAGTTTTTCTTTTCCTATAAAACGTGTTCCTTTGTTGAGAACAGAGAAGAATTTTTCTACCGAAAAATATAAGAAATACACTTTTGCATAACCTTATTTTATGAAGTCCATTGTTTTTTTTTAAAAAAAACAAACAAATATTAAAAAGAATGATATCATAAATCCGAAACATTAAACTTCTAAATGAGTTTTATCTTTAATTATATAGTTTTTTTAAAACATATTTTCAAGTGAAAGCTCTTAATTAGAATTTAAAACTTGATTGAAGTTTAATACTATATATGTCAAACAATTATTCAACTCAAAAGATTAAGAATCTATTTGGCCTCTTGTTTTTATAGTTTTTACTTCCTCTAATTTAAAGAAAAAAAAATATTAAATAAGACTTTGTTAAAGATTTTAATATTCCATTACTTAACTTTTGAAAATAAAAGGTGATTCCACTTTTGTTTTTTTTTTAAATGAGAATTGATGCTTTTTGGATGAAATAATTCTTATTTCATTTAAAAGACAAAAATAATCATAAAAAAAATATCAATATATAGTGCATAATGGGAGCTTATTTAAATTATGTAGTATTTTTATTTTCTTAAAAAGAACCTATGTAATTTATTAATTTTTGTTTTTTTTTATTTATAGTATTTAAAAAATTTTGTTTTATGAATAAAAGAATTCATGTTTTTAAGTAATTTATTTTAATTTCTTAGAAAAAAAATTAAAATTAAGTAATTTTAATTTAAATGACATAGTAATAAATTATCAAACAATTTTAAGTGGTTTTAGTCTCAATGCAAGTATGCAACACAACCAAACAGTTTAAATATTTTAATCCAACAGTAAAATCCAAAAAAAAAAAAAAAAAAAAACAGATCAAATAGCTAGCTGGTTACAAAATGATTAAACAAGCTCTAAAGTATTACAAGTGAAACCTTGATTATAACTTTATATTTTATTATGTAAATACAAACAAATTTATCTATTTAGTCTATTATATATCTCAATATTTTGTAAAGATAGCTTAATCAATTATACTATTTCAGGAGTTGTCTTCGCCCATGTATATCCCCTCATCCTTAATTGCATTTATTATGCCTTGTGATATTAAAAAGTCATACTCCGTTGGAATATGTCATTCATGTTAATAAAATTTAATTAATGTGTGATTTTTGGATAAATCATCAACATATTCTCCAATATGATCAAACTCTCTTGAACTTTTTGTCAAAATTTTTTAGATTAATATTTATTTTTAACAAATAAGACAATTGAAATGTTTAGTAGAAACACATCAAGGAACTAATTAAATTACTTTTTTCTTATTCTTTGTAATAGTAAATTATGTAATTATCACTATTTTTAAGGTGCAAGGGATGGAGAAATTTGAGCCTAGAGAATAAATTTGTAAATCACATGCAATTCATATGTACATATTTTTTTAATGATGCATTATAATATATGCTTATATTGAAATTTTGGTATAACTAAATGACATAGTAGAAATGCAATTAAACGTATAAAAATATGTGGGAGACAATCTAACTATAAGGATAAAGGATCTATTTTCACTAAAATAGTTTTGTCACAAATAAAATATAACTATATATATGCATGAAATTTAGAAAAATAAACCTGCTTCGGTATTAAAAAAATTGACATAAGTACTTAATTAATAGTTTTAAAAACATTTAGGCACTCAAATAAAAAAAATTAAAGTTTATATACTTGATTGAGAAAAAAAGATAAAATTATAATTTGAAATTCTAAGGGTGACAAACACGTCATTACTTAACAAAAAAGCTGACAAAAATTCTTCATTAATAGTTTTTAAAAAATTGGTTTACTCAAAAAAAAAAAAAAATACTAAATAAAATCCATATACTTGATTGAGAAAAAAAAATGAAATTGTAATTTTGTATTTTGATGGTAATAAAAGCATTTTCAGTTAATAAAAAAATTAACGAATATACTTGATTGATAATTTTTAAAAAAATTTGTACACTCAAACAAAATAGAAATAAAATCCAAATAATCGATTGATAAAAAGTTAAAAATTAAAATACTTATAGTGCAATTATCCTTTCTAAACTAAAAACAAATTATGAGTTTATCCCTTAAACAGTATAATTTTTTTGAATGTGTCATTGTCGTTAGGATTTCATTGAAAAATTAACAAAAATACACATAAAAATCCTACTAGTTCGGTAGTTCCTATATTTTTCTCTGCCAACTAGGAAACATCTCTACTTATAGTGAAATGATAGGAACTAGGAGGACTTTTATAGGCTTTTCCAATAATTTCCCATAAAATCCAAATCAGAGTTTTTTTTTTTTTTTTTTTTTTTTTTTTTTAATTCAAGAGGGTATTTGTTTTTTTCTAAAGTTCTAGGGTTTTTCTTTTAATTCTAATTTAGCCTAATATAAAACATCCCAAATTAAAGCTAAACTTGAATTAACCATTTAAGTTTTTGGAGTAGTTGATTCTTATAACAAGATATTGTTTTTGTTTGACCTATGTGATTGGAAGTTCAAACTTTATATCCTGCTCATTCTATTCACTTTAATTAACAAAATATTTGGGGTGTCATCCAACAAGCAATGAATTCTCTTTCACTGTAGTACTGTTCACCTAGGTCAATAATCCTATTCACCAATGGTATTATTGAAAATTTCAAGTTTTTTAGATATTTAATATGCAAATTTTAATAGTTTTTACACTTTGACCCTTTTTTTTTTTTTTCAACTTCGATTACGTCTCAGATTTATCCTTAGTTCTTAGACAAAGGGTGGAAATAGATGATAAGAGAGATAGCCACA